CTGATCGATTCTAAGTGAATGTTGAACATTTCTAGACAAACATGACTTTGGCGATCCAACCTTGTTATCCCATTTCGGTCTACAGTCCACGTTCACTGGGTCTTCAATATTTCTGTAGAACCCAGCAAAAATTATGGCGAACCCCGGAGTGCTATCGGCCTGGAAAGAGTCCATTGAAACCACTTGAGTAGCGCTCAACCGTGGACTGAATAAGCGTCCATCGAAACCACTTGACTAGAGTTCAACCGTGGACTGAATAGGAGTCATTTGAAACCACTTAGGTAGAGTTCAACCGTGGACTGAATAAGAGTTCATCGAAACCACTTGAGTAGAGTTCAGCCGTGGACTGAAGAAAACCATCGGGTTTTCCCATGCAGTTACTTATCGCCCGGCTCCTTCACTTTCTTGACTTCAAAACACTAACAGAATTGTATCTTCCGGTTGTTTCTGGCGTCTGGTCTATTGAAAGGAAGTGACAACAAAAATCACACGCAATCACCCGCAAATCGTATCCACTCGATATCAAATGGTCCATATCCTGTGTTTTTTTTGGGGGGGAGGGGGTCGAGGAGTTTTCACCACCAGGAGCACTTACCCTCAAAACCTTACCATGACTGGCTGCGCGTCTGGTACAAGCCGTGGTGGTGTTGTTGGGCCAACACAACATACCACCGCGTCTGCTCTCTCTTTCTCTCTCCCCCCGGTAATTTACACTGAAGATGACAAGCACATCGCCGGCCATACACCACGTGCAGGCGACCGCGTCATTATGCCCAAACGCGCTCGGCCTCGTTCGAACTCAGTGATCGTATCACTCCACTCATAGAAATCCGTAGTGGAGGCTTGGCGCGATTTCCCCAATCTTGCCGGTGCATCTTGAGAGACGACGCGCGTCCCTGCTCGAAGTCTGGTCACTATGCCCAAATAAGTCGGTTTTACGTCATCGATATCGCGTACAGAAGTGGGTTGTTTTCACCCGGAAGGGGTGTCCCCGGTGTGATCAGAGTTATGGGCCGTCGAAGCCTGCGCTGCCCCGCCGTCAGCTCTCGCGCGCCGCCCGGGGGGTGGGTGACATCGTACGCGGACGTCAGCCAGCGCTGCCTGTCGACCGGTGGATTCGTTCGGCAAGGTAACGTGACTTGCGTAAAACAGCTGTCGCCCCAACTCTGTTGCTGATATGGATAGTGGCATGTTAGATATGGGAAGACAATACCGCGTGGCACCATTCTTGTCTCTGGGAGGATATTCAGACCTCATGGCGAGGTTGAAGAAATCCCCCTCCCTCTCTTCTTTTCGTGCTCTCTGTCTTCCCCGTTCCTATCACTACTTTGTTGCTAGTGAGAGTGGTGGTGTGCGGACCGCGGTGCTGTCGGTCCCCGGCGCAGCCACTAGAAGGATACAGATCGTGCCTTGCTTCCAGGCCACTGGCCAGTCAGCGGGTCGCTGTGCGCGGCGTGGGACGAGTGAGCTGCCGGTCGGCGTGGCTTGACGCGGGGATGGTGTCAGTCCTGAGCGGCCGCAGCCACACGTCGATTGCAGCCCATGCCAACGGATCTCAGCAATGCGTATGCGTTGATGCATTTGATTTTAGAGGTGACTTTCATGGGAGTGGGTCAGGCTGAGTGGTTTTTGGCTGGCTTGTTTTTGGCTGGCTTGTTTTTGCGCCAATTCGAGTAACGTGCTTCAGTGGCGGGCTATGGGGGTGACCAGACCTGGTCATTTCAGTTGACGACATTAATGTGGAATGGCGTGTGTTTTGGATGGCCACGCCCATGTGGTGTTGAGAAGAAAAAAGTGATGAACCGTCTCCAGACCGGTTTCAGAAAGCAGCAGCATTGTGCGCTTGCTGTTGGCGCGTGGTGCTGCTGCTGGCCAGCCGGCGGACCTGTGGAAGTGATCCCTGATGTGATCTGTCGACGCCACGTTTGCCCGCACGATGCAGCCTGTGTCACGTCTTTATCACCCCCCGCTGCTGAAATCTGAAGTGATCCGTCGACGCTACATTTGTCTGCACAATGCATGTGTCACGTCTTTATCAGCTCTCGCTGCTGAAATTTTAAGTGATCCGTCGGCGCTACATTTGTCTGCACAACGCAGCCTGTGACACGTCTTCATCAGCTCTCGCTGCAGGAATCTGACACCGGTTCATGACAACATGACATCGTAATGAACCGAACGAGATTACGATGCTCTAGCAGTGGTTTCGTCCACGCCCTTCGCATTCGTTCTCACCGGGCTGGTGTGGTGAGTGTTCACCTGTGAGGGCCGGGGTCAAAGTCAGCCCCTCTGTGTACCCGGAATAACTTTGAAATCGTTCCATTGAGGCCTGGCAAATTAGCAGTTTCTATCAAGCGATCAGCCGGACGCATTCTGGATGGCAAAATTATGAGCGTGGCGGCAACCTGACGCCCCTGACCCGACCTGGCCTGACCTGACCTGACCTGACCTGACCTGGCCTGGATTGTTAGCGTTTTCAACATTATGTTGGAATACCTGGCGT